TAAAATACAGTTTCGATTCGTAACATTGAAAAAAAATGCAAAATGCCTAAGTTTTTTTTTTAAGGGGGGAAAATCATCGAATGACTGCTCCCGCCTGGGTGAGGCGGGAGGGAGTGTCAGACTCTTACTGACTAAAAACCACCCTGTTCCTTTTCCTGCATGGCGAGCCGGAGCCCCGGTTACCCGTTAGGTTCTCCGCGACAAAATGCCTAAGTTAGGAATTAATCGGTACTAGTGAAAAACTAGCCTCTGTTTTGCAATACATTATTTAGTTTATAATAGTTTAGTAGTAAGAACTTCCCCTTAAGTATTACACATTAGTCAGCAAGGCAAAGAGTGGCTCCGGCCCGTCTGCCCGCGGAAAAAACTTCGCTAAAAATAAAAGTATTGCACCGCGCCTTAATAGGGGCCCGCGGACGTAGACGGGTATTATACTCTTACTTACTAAGTAACTGCGCGTTGTTAAACAATATGGCTATTGATTTTTTTTTAAGTTGAGATAATCGTCGAATGACTGCTCCCGCCTGGGTGAGGCGGGAGGGAGTGTCAGTCTCTTACTGACTAAAAACCACCCCGTACCTTCTCCTGCACGTCGAGTCGGAGCCCCGGTTACCCGTTAGGTTCTCTGCGACATGGTTTTTGGATTAGAAGGTACACTGTTTTCAAAAGGCTATAAGAATTTATTAGTTCTAAAATATGTAGTTACTACAATAAAAGGTTTTAGTTTTAGTAATTTTTTTATACATATTTCTTAACGTAATTTTTTTTTCTTCTGTTACACACTGTGTCTCATGTTTTATACGTTTCCTGGTCTCAGGTCTACTAGAAGAAATTTCAACACAAATAATTAGCACCTTTGTACTCTTATTTTATATACATATGTGTTATCCTCTGTGCTGTTTGTGTGTAATGACGTAGAATTGGTAATAAAATAACAATATACAAGTATAGAAGGTGTGAAGCAGTAGTGTGGTCCCTCACACTTACATAGGACTTAATAAATTGACGGCACGTGTGTTGCAGTAGCTGGGCAACTGGCTGCCGCGCAACGTACTGCAGGTTCGCTTCCCGCACGGAGCAACTCTTTGTGTGATCCACAAATTGCTGTTCCGGGTCTGTGTGTCATGTGTATGTGAAATTGTATGTTTGTAAACGCACCCACGACACAGGAGAATATCCTAGTGTGAGGCAAAGTTTTTAAAAACGAAAAGTAATTTGGCCTCCACGCTTCGAGTAAGAAAAGTTAAAATATGACCTATTTTTCATTCAATACCAGTGAATACTGGATAACAATAATTTAAACATTGCTACGGAACCGTAACAAAGGAATAAGCTCTCGCATTTTTTCCAAGGCAACCATTTTGTTTCATTTCGCTAAGTTTTTCAGGCGCACGGTATATATAGTTATATTTTATTACCAACGGATTAAATTCACTCAAGATTTGTTTTTATTCAAGTTGCATTTTTATGGAAACCATTTTTGCATAATGTCCTTTTTTAGCGCATCGTAAGTAAGGTACGCGGAGCTCAAAAAGTTATTTTGTACTTGTACTTTGCGGAGAAAATGTATTCTTGTTTGTTATTCTCGGATTAAAATTGAGGAAAAATAATAAATATATATAAATGTAAAGTAAATGCAAAATGATGGCGAATAGAGAACGTTTTACCATCAAATTCTTTAAACATATTATACGTTTCGTATTTTCCTGAAAGAAAAGTAAAAAATGATGACTATAGGTACATCACTTAGAAGTATCATAATAACAAGATCCAAATAATAAAAAAAAAACAAACAAAGACAAGCAAGTCACATTAAAGAACTTCTCAACTGAACATAACAATAAATGTATTTTTTTTAATATCATTTGCAATGAGTATGTGACAAAAAGGTTTGATACTGTAAGACGCACGCGATGGGAATCGTACCCGCTGCTAGTAATTTGCGTTTTTCTGAGCCAAGCCTGGCGTCGGTTTGTCTTGGGATAAAGGTTTTTGTCTCTGCCTCGCTTCTTGATGGGTATAGCGCGGCTTTATAATCTTAGTACTTTTTGAATTTATAGAGCTGTCAGATTTGACAGTTGTGGTTTTGGTAATTGTCTATTGCTATGAGCTGTTGCCCGCGACTTCGTCGTCGTAGAACATGATTCCTGTTTTATCCAAAGAGAGCATTTACTTGGAATAAAAAGTCCTATCCTAAGTCACCTAAGTCAGCTCATACCCGGCCTGTATACAAAATTGCATCATAATCCGTTCCGTAGTTTCAGCGTGAACGGAAAACATCTAAACAAAGAAACTTTCACAGTTATAATATTAGTGTGATAGAAATTTGATGTACTAGATGTTTCTAATTGTAAAATGAGCTTTACGGTAGTTACAGATTATGTATATGTGGTTAAATCTATGTTAACTTGTCGAGTACCGTCAATACAGACACAATTATATAACAATAGGTTGCGGTCACCGGTGACCGCTTGGTGTTTGACAGTTTAATAATTTCGTCAAGGGGTACGGTAGACTCGATCGAAACATTACTTAACTCGTCGAGTACATTTACAGTAAATTTATTTTATTTGTTGTACTTTCGCACCTTAAACCGCTAAAGCAATCTTACAAAATTCTGTTATGGAACTGAAGTGGATCATTTAAAATTATAATTAGTATTGTGTGGTAGTTAAAAGTTCTACAAAATTCCTCGCGGAAAAAATCTCTACGTATTAGAAAAATAAGTTAATCGGTTATAGCTTGCAAAATGATTATAGTAAAGTTAGAATTATAATTGTTACCATTTTCAGAGTAAAATATTTTTATAGCTATGAAATGAAACACGTTGAAGTAATCAAGAATATTTACTTAATTAGGAACTATGTTATGAAAACTAGATATGAAGCCAATGATCATTCCTTGATTACTAAAATTTAACGAGAAATAACTTATTATGAACTTAATATGAGGTTATTTTATAATTGCCTCGTAGGACTAGTTTGCCGTTTTAGAATGTGTTCATGGATTATGTCTGTTACTATAATTATATTACCGTATAAGGAATGAAAGAGGAAATTTATTGGTTTGAGTTGCAAGATTGTACCTACCATTTTACTGGTAGTTACGTAAAAAAATATTTTTAAGATTAAGTATTTTTAATTGGAAAAGTGTTATTATATGACTAAAATACAAGATGAGACTACGAAAAGTCTTATTCTTATTACATGTAAGATATAAATGACTTTTATTTCCATCCAAAAATACAGAGGAACTTAGCAGGTAACTTTTAGGAATAAGCAAAAAAATAAATATGTACAACATAAAATACATTAAAACTATTTATAAATTATATTATTATAAAATATAGACTGCCTCGTTGGCCGAGTGGTCGCAAGTGCGACTACCGGGCAAGGTGTCTCGGGTTCGATTCCCGGGTCGGGCAAAGTATTACTGGGTTTTAAAAAAAATCTCAGTAGTAGCACGGAGTCTGGAATTGTGCCCGGTATATGGCAATAGGCTCACCCCCTATTACATGGGACTCATAACATAATTAGTGAAAAGTGGGTGTTACCTCTGCCTACCCCTCCTGGGATAAAAGGCGTGATGTTATGTTATGTTATTATTATAAAACAATTGCAACACAAAAAATCGTCTGTCATAGCCACAAGTATCAAAACCAGTCGAACCACAATACATCTACAGTGGCTGGACAAAAACGCCTAGTTGCATGGATGTAGGAAAAAGCGTGGAAATTGTGGAAAAACTTAGCTCACAGTGGGAAACTAAGAAAAACTCGCCACTTCTGCAACCAATTGTACTTAGGTACTTACTTATGTTTCATAGATAGATACTCTGTTAGTGAGTGACTCGTTTTAATTAGGCCTGACATGATTGTGTTAATTATGTTTTCGTATTCTTTGGTCAAGAGGTTAATTTTACTTTTAAGATTATTGTAAGTATTTCGTCTAAAGAAGTGTCTTTAGTCTTTATAGGGACCAATCAGCGCTCTTAGATATACTTGAACATTTTATTTCGATTTTTGATAAACTTTTTAATTGCGATCTTTAACCCGCCTGCCGATTGAGGACAATTATGGCATAACTCTCTTATGTAGATGTTTGTAGTCCAGCAATTTATGGCCATCCACACCCCACGATGGTCACGGGTGCAATACCCGGGTCGTGCAAAGTATTATTGGCTTTTTAAAAAAATCTTCGCTGTAGTACGGAGTCTGGAATTGTGGTATAACGACTCAACATAAATGTTACATTGTACAATGGCATTAAGTTCCGCAATGTACACCTCTGCCTACCCCTTCTTGGATAAAATACATTCAAATACTATGATTAATACTTTACGTAACTTCTCTACGCCTGGCCTATACCTACTGAGCTACTACTACTACTAAACAAATAATTTAAAAATTTAATGGTAAATAATGTTTTCCTGTAGATGTTATACCTATTTATAATTTCTGCTTAACGCCTGAAATTATAGCTATAACATTATATAGGAGGTGTCTATGTTTTAAATGTTTTTTTTTTTAAACGTTGCCCCGCATTATTATTTTCTCTTGTGACGTGGGTGCGTTCACGAACACAGATAAGGGCCTATTTTTCGAACGTCAGATACATTTTAAATAAGGTATATTATTGAATATTATTTTGACAATTCTTCCATACCTACTAAAACTTGTCAAATGTCAATTTTATTCTACAGATAAAAATTAATTAACCATTGAAAAATCGGCCCTACGTAGGGTTTTATGAAAATACGTAATAATGTTTACGCAAGAGCACGTATTAAGACGCGATGTGTTTGACAATACAAACACGTTAACAGCTGTATGTTAACGCAAACTTATTTACTCTTAAAAATTAAGAGTAATTTCAGCACCGCCATATAAATTGCGACCACGTCATGCAAGCTCATAAATACAATAAAAGGTGCCGACGTCGTTTAAAATTCAGCTAAAAAAATATAAAACATTAAGAAATTAATTGCACTGCGTGACTTACTGGTCCCATTCACATTTCGTCCGATGATCTTATTGGAGCCATTGTTGGGCTGAGGAGCGGCGGGGGTGTGCGGTGCGGGAGGAACTACCCGTCCCGTTTCCTCGCCGGGGCTTTCCATATCACACCTCTCGCTCGCACACATCAACCCGACACCCGCCAATTCGAAAACTTCACAAAAATATTGGCAACTTTTTAGAAAAAAAATTTTTTACATTTTTTTTATAGACAAAAAGGCTAGGTATCACAGTTTGAAATTAAGAAAGTTTATATTTGGAACAATGTCGTGACGAACTCCGATTTTGGCGGTAAATTTGTATTGTAAGGGTAGCCGTGACGTGTCGTGATGACGCGCGCGCCTCGACTGGCGGCCGCCGCCGGAGCCCTGGTGCAGCTGCATCGCCCCGCCCAGCACCCCACGCGACCCCTCCACGTGGCCCCACGCTTTCCTTGCCCTCGGCTTATGTAAAAAAACATAAAGGCCTCAAATTGTGTAAGTGTGTGCGTTAAGTTCGTAGTGCAGTAGTGTGCGGGGAAGGGGCCGAAAGGGTACGGCTTGAGGGTCGACGGGTGATCATTATTGTGTTTTTTTAAATCAGTCTTGTTCTTATCGATCGCGCTAAGTTTGAATTTTAGTTCATGGCGAGTCTGGTGTGATTAAAACCACTAGCTGGCCATAGCTGTTAAAGAAAATAAGGAAGATTAGTTCGCTACAAATTAGATGTCAATTAGTTTGATTAGTTACCCGTATAAGTAGTTGCCTTCCTTGGAAAGCTGAAGCTCGCGAGGAATGCAAAGGATTTTGTGAGAGGCGGAGATGTGAGGTGTGCCGGCGATGTCGTCATTGTGGAAGATCCACTAAGTATTTCCTAATGAGAAATGTAAATGATGAAGTTTTATTACGTAGGTACTTCTCTCCATACTGAGACAATTTGTCTTTCTTAAATAGATCTAACAAGACAATCAAGATGACATCTCTGTTGTTACACAATACGAGTTACACAATATTTATCTTGTAAATATTTCAGAAGATCGCCCTAGACTTCACAAGCGCGACTGTCGAACGCGAAATCTCGAGTTCTATTGCGTACGGGAAAAGTTCTACTAGATAACAGAAAAGCAGAGGCTGGAATTTCGACCATATCAAAAAATAGACTGTAGTTCTGTTACATACAACTATAAGTTAAAAAACTGTTAAAAAGCAAAAAATCGGGAACAACGTTTACATTACGTAAGTCGTCCAAATCATCAAGACAACTTCGCTGAGACAGTGAAACCAAGGAGTTTATAACAAAGTTTGATTTCTTAAATTTTGCCGAACATAGTGCCCTCAGGCAACCACCCGCAGTTGACAAAAGGGTTAGGGTCTAACCCACGAACGGTTATATAAAAACCATAAAAAACCCAGCACATAACATTTTGAGGGCACTTCCCTACGCAAGCTGTGTAAATCAACGGACACACGGACGAACGGACGGAAACAAGTTATTTATAAAATTCTCAGTTTCGACATAATACGACGGCTTTACCCACAGACTGTTGGCTTTTGAGTTAAATACAGAAAAACAGTGCTCATTACCGTCTGTTGGTAATTGAGGGCAAGAATTTTTGAAGATTTCATATCGGACAGAGAATTGTGTTCTGGCTTATAAAAAATAATTTTAATTATTATGTTCTTCGGCTTCTTACGTAATATTTTACGAGGAACTCGACTAGTTTCAAGCCATGCTAGAGGCTCATATTCATGAGCAGCATTTCGCGACCTGCGACGCGGTGACTGTTTAATTTAGTACCTATGTCTCGCGCAAGTTTTAATACAAACCCTATTCAATGAACTTGCAATAGGACCAAGTCTATCTATGTAAAAATCAAGAAATTCCATACATACAATACATCACGCCTGTGTCCTATGGGGTAGGCAGAGACTATGGAACGCCTATTGCTAGGATTCTTACATACCTCTTTCGCTTTCACAGTCATCAATAAAGTACGTATTATCTAAACAGATTTGTGTTCGGTGTTTTGGGAATCATCTACCTGTATTTCATTTGATGTTGCATAGTACAATCGCATCAATTTATTTAGGAAACATCTAAACGGTGTTTTGTAAACGTAGAATAATAGGGTTTTTTTTAATGTCCGTCTGGTAGATTATTTCAAATCCTTCCGTTATTAGACCTCTCAACTGACCAAAATTGGGATGAAGACGGGTTATGAAAATTAAAAATCTAATTAGTCCGTAAGTTAGGTAATGAAAAAATATTAGACATATATTTTTTTTATTTTGTTATATAATAAAATAATACCTACTTAAATAAAATGAATAATACGTCATTTCTACGTATAAAATTTACATAGAGGTGACGTCACCTGACATTTCAAATCAATATTTCGTCGAAAGTATTCGTTTCTGTAAGAAAATAAAAAATACGTGTCTAATGATTTAAAAATCATCTACCAGAAGGACATTAAAATAAAAATTAAGCATCTAACCTATATCTATTACCTATATCCCATTATTGTTGTAAAAAATATTTTGCAACTTCAACAAATGTACAAGAAATAAATTTATCGCTACAAGAATCTTAAGTTATCGTAAATACCTCAAAGCTAAATAATAATACATAGCAAGGGGAGCCTGGGGAACACATCATTATACAATGGAATTCACAATATGCAAATACGATTGGAGCCAACGTGATAATAATAGTGAAAGCAATGGAAAGCGAAGGGCTTAGGGCTGGCAACACTCGGCAGAGACAATCGATACTGAGTTTTAAAAAAAGTGGAAGCTTTTTATAATGTGTGATGAAAACAAAACCCTAATTTAACATAACATAACATCACGCCTTTTATCCCCGAAGGGGTAGGCAGAAGTGCACATTATGCCACTGTACTTACAATGTAACACCCACTTTTCACTATTTATGTTATGAGTCCCATGTAATAGGGGGTGAGCCTATTGCCATATACCAGGCACAATTCCAGACTCCGTGCTACTACGTAGTTTTTTTTTAAAAACCCAGTAATACTTTGCCCGACCCGGGAATCGAACCCGAGAGCCCTTGCCCAGCAGTCGCACTGGCGACCACCCGGCCAACGAGGCATCCCAATTTGATTATATATGAAATAATATAATATATGAAAAGGATTGGCCACAGAAAGCTTTAAGAAGAGACGAGTGGAAGGTAGGGAGACCTTTGCCCTACAGTGGGACGGCCATGGCTAAAAAATAAATAATTTTAATTGTTATGTTTTTCGGCGTCTTTGCGTAATCTTTTGACGAGGAACCTGACGAGTTTCAAGCCATGCTAGAGGCTCATATTCATGAGCAGCATTCCGCAACCAACGACGCGGCGACTGTTTAATTTAGTATGTCTCGCGCAAGTTTTAATGTAAACCCTATTTGATGAACTTGCAATAGGACCAAGTCTATCTATGTAAATATCAAGAAATTCCATACATACAATACATTACCTAACGCCTGTATCCCATGATAGTAGGCAGAGACTATCGAACGACAATTGCTACGATTCTTACATACCTCTTTCGCTTACTTAACAGTCATCAATAAAGTACATATTATCTAAACAGAATGAATAGTCTTCTGAATTTTAAACACAATCAGTTACTGAATATTAACTTGGAGGTAGAGTCTTAAATGCCCAACATATTTAATTGTACATGATCAGCACATGCACTTGTAGGTCCATGCATGAAGTTTAGAAAACCTTCAAGAATAGGTCTATCAGACGAATATTTTTTATTGACCTCTGTTCTTTGCAAACACCCTTTATCATAATAGGTTGCAACTTGCAATTATCCTATATCGTGATAGAATACCTAAGTCAAACAAAAAGCCTGCCTATCGACCCCAAAAATCAAACAGGTAGATAAAGGCTAAACAATTCAGTAAACTTCTCGCTAGAAAAAACAGCACCGAATGTTTCGTGTCGGTATCAAATTAAAAATGATAATCAGCTTGCAAAAGCTTAATTCGGTTGAGATACGAAAGCGGGCCATTCTTGGAAACCGTAAAAAATACATAAAACTGCCCGACCCAACAACGGTATACGGATGATGTTGCAAAAAATCCTATATTTCGGGTTAACAGGCCTTTGGTATATGGGTTAATATAATTTTCTTATGGACTTATGGGCTGTGTGTATAATTTTGTTCGAGACTCGTCGCTTTTTTTGTATTTCGAAGAGCATCTCATTACATCGTGTCTTGTGTTCAGGAGCGATCAAACAAATATTGTTACTACACACTGCAATGGGATGATGACGGGGTATGAAAATTAAAAATCTAATAGTCCGTAAGTTAGGTAATGAAAAATTTTAGACACGTTTTTTTATTATTTTGTAGTAAAATTAAGCAATACTTAGATAAAACGAATCAAAGCTTCTGAGTGGAGGCTAAAACGTAATTTCTACGTATAAAATGCACATAGAAGTGACGTCACGCGGCATTTCAAATCAATATACCGTCGAAAGTATTCGTTTCTGCAAGAAAATAAAAAATACATGTTTTATGATTTAAAATAATCTACCAGACGTACCCATTTTATTTAAAATAAAAATTAAGCATCTACCCTATTACCTAATAATTTGTAATAATAGCATGCCATTCAGAATGTCGGTACATCAGGAAGTGGGTACAGGTACCACTCAATCTAATTATGGTTATTTTTTTAATTTGAAACTCTTTACTAAACCAAAAAGACCAAAGACTAAACGTAATATTTTCTGAATCAAGTCGTCATAACGATCTAGGAAGTCGTGTATTCAGCCTTTTTCACATTGAGCCTGCAAAAAGGTGGCACCATAGTTTTCCCACAGAGCTGCCGTTAGTTTATCATCATATCGACATATTTCTAGCTATCTAGTGTTGCGACAACCTTTCACCGGCTCAAGGAAAAACCTACACTGCCTTAAGAGTCGGTCGGATATTATTTACAGAAAAAGTGAGGTCATAAAATCAGCGAACGACTTATAGATTATTTTTATTTTTTCCATTGTGTAATTTCTTTGAAGAATTTTATAAACACATTGCTAAATATTTAATACATATACATAATATTTTCTGATTCCCAAATCTCGATAAATTCTTATTAGGTTTTTGTACAATAAAGATGCATATAAGTAAGGATGAGGTATAATATGCGATGCTCTATTTATGATATAAACGAAATATAAAATTAACCGCTACTCAATCCGCCGCTCGCTCCGCCAATAATCCCGCTGTTTCCATAGCCCTCAGTACAGTAAAGACACTCTCGAATGAGTATTTTCTCACGCTGACCGGCCTCTCGCCTCTCTACATACTAGCTGCTAATTCCACACATTGCTCGCTGAACATTTTCATACATTAGGCAAAGATTCGTGGACCTACTCGTGCTTTCTACGCGAGATAGTGGTCTTGACTTGTCACCATCGTACCACCGTGGGAGGGCAATGACGAAAATGCGAGGAAATCTTCGCCAGGGTTTAAACCACATCGATGCTTGATCTCACTTTCATAATTTGAATATACTTGTTAATTTGAGAGGGGTAATCAAATAATGAAAAATGTTGTTGTATATCTAGTTAATGTCTCCAGTTTTAGGTTAAGTTAAGTTATGAGAAAATAAAATTTCTTATTAGAAAAAATACTAATTATTCCAAGAATTAAAGCTTATAAGAAATATAAAAGTTCAGAAAAATTAAGAATTATTCTAATTATAGCAACAAATTTTTTTGATAGCAACACCAGATATATATCAAGTGGTGTACATACATAGTTGTGAGTAAGTACAAATAGATCTTATTGGTCTAAGATTGGAATTCAATCCACCCAATCGTAAGAAATAACATTAATAAACTTTACTCATAAAAACTTTAATAGGTACTTATAACTTTAGCAACCAACAACTCATATTAACTCGACTCTTTACACTTTTTACACACCTCGTTAAAATTAAATACGAAATGAAATATTTATAATATTAGGGTTAAAGCAGCTATAAAAAATATCATTATACATAAACGCCCATTCTCCAAACAAGAATTTCATCGGTAACTTTTTATCAGACCGCAATTTTCGGAACGCGACCATCATTTCGAATCGTTTGCGCGGGAAAAACTATAAAATGGCCGACGGCGTGCGTCCGATGCAAATTGTGCGCGGAAAAAGCTCGCGAGCGGTAAAAACTGAAAGGAACTCATAGTATTTCATCGACGTCGCCAGTTATTGAGCGGGGTTAATGTTTTTGTGTAGATTCCAGTGGTGGCGACGAGGCGACTTTTTGCGCGTTGCGGAGTCTGGGAAGCGCTCGGCGGCAACTCTCGTCGAGGGCAAAAAGCAAACGAGGGCCGCCATAACGCTGCTAACCGACGCAAAAACGTTGCGACATACGGATAGAATTAATGCGGCGACTCTTTAATTTTCTTCAAGAAAGCGCGGGAGGAAATGGTGTAGGTAATGAGTGTTGCCAGACGCAAAAACTATCTGTATAATGACGTACCTCATTTATCCAGTTTATTTTTCTGTTCTTGTCTGTTCATATATAAAAAGTACTTATAGGAATGTTTTAAAAGCCTCATTCCTATTAGACACGATTGAGGAATGCTAGCTCTAATAAGAAACGGTAGCGTATAATGGTTGTCCATTTGTAATGGGAACAGACTGTGTGTAGGCAATCAGTTGTGGTGGCCGTAAGCTATTCTTGTTTCAGTAAAACACAATTTTACATATTGCGTGGTTTAGAAACCTCAGTATCTATGATAATGTTATGTTATATTTTCTTCATTATTTGATTTCCACTTGTAGAAAATAGACACTAGATCTGGGGTACCTTTGTAGGTGCTTAAAGGAAAAACCTAAAGAAAGGTGAAAAGCAACGAAGTCTTGTAGATTAGATAATTAAGCAGTAGGCTTACCTTGGTACCTACATATTTAGTTGTATCTCTATACTATAACTCCTGTTATAATAGGTACCTAAGTAAGTAGGTATCTCCGAACTGAATAATTTCAGTTTTGTATGCGTTCATCTTACGATACAAAGTTAGGTTAGTGTAGCAACACTTATCTTCAAATAAACATTTATTGTGTACGAAACATTGAAAGAATACACCAAAAAACATATAAATTTACACGATGGTCAGAAAGTAAAACCTTTTTATTGACAAACTATTTGCATTATAATAATGCAATGGAGAGCAAAGGTACATTATGCTGCACATCTGCCTATTTTTACTAGGTACGTCGTTTTTTCATAAGGCCTACATATTTTTGTAGGATAAGTGTTTACTACGAATTTATTTGCGTATAAAGAAATATACATAATATACATAAATATACATTAATTTATTAGCTTCACGCCTAGAACAAAGTTTCAATGCAGGTAACTAGTGTCTGTTTTTTAAATGCACTGAATATTACCATTAATAATGCCATCTATGTATATACATATCCAAACAACATTACAATTACAATGAAAAAGTGAAAAAATATAAATGGAATACGCAGTTTAGAATCGAATTAAAATAGGTAATTTAAAGTGTGCGTCACAAAACTCTAGATCTTATTTTAATTTAACTAAATACTAACCTCATTCGCATAAAACCAAATGCATTATAACGCTAAGATAATTTATTTGATAAGATAATCATAGTTGTAGTAATATTACATAGTTTTAGTAATAGTAGCAGAAATAATATAGTTTCGACAGATGAAATAATTATTTCAGTTGTCGAAACGAAACTATGTTTATTTTGCAGTTTTTTTATATGTGATGGGCCGACGTTTGACAACATTTACAGTTTTAGTATATCATTAAAATTTGTCAATATTCAAATGTGACTTTAATTTTTTTATTAGAAACTTTGAAGGTGCCTGATGTAAATGTGTTAGCAATAATTTACAAAACTATGCATGCTAATTTCATTTCTTTGGTGGCACAATTTTCGAAATAGAAAGTAGATATAGTAACACTCTTATAGACTAGAGTTAATTTAATATAACACACGTCCCTTCGTAATATTAGACATGTTATGTACGAGCTTTAGAGATGGGCCATTTATCGTATAATTAATCAAAATGTAAAAAAAAAATACTGAGTTAATTCTCTAAATACTTTTTTTGATAAATACTCGTGTAAAAACAGATAATTATCGTATTTAACCGAAATTTCGCCCATCTCCAACAAGCATATTATAATCACGAGCCTTTCAACCATATTTGAAAAATCAAGGCTTTTCTTTATATAAATAATTGATGAAGTAACTCATAGCAACTCATACTTTTAAATGCGTATTATCAAAATGATCTGTATTCCCAAGAATACCCAAATGAATGAGTTTAGCTAATTATGGTAGTTGACAGGTAGTCAAATTCAATACTTCTAATAAAATGTCAAAAACGATACCTTTTGAATTTTGTATTGGATCGCAAGTTAAGACGTCGTCATATTTCTGCGTCAACTAACTTATTTGTTTCTTTAAAATTAGCGAGAAAAAATCCAAAAGTAGATAAATTTATTGTTGAATATTGATATGACAATTAATTTATCTACTTGGATGAGAGAGATGAAAAATAATCATAATTTTTTATTAATTATTGCATTGAAAGTTGAAATAATGTATTATAAACCTAGGAAACTAGGAACCTGGTTTCCTATTGCATTGTCTCTTTCAAGGAAATTGAAATTTTATTTGTTTATTTAAATTTAAACATTACATTAGGTACATCACAGGCACACCTAATACAATAAATGCAGTTACGACTTTGGTCTCTTTACTAACTTCATTAACAGTTTTTTCAGTCCTTATTTTTTATTAAATCTCACTTTACAATTTGTTTTCTTTAACAAATACGTTTAATTATTCTTTTGCATTTAATAAGTAATACCTACCTAAACAATAATTTCCTTCAAGCACTTGCTAAAAGCCAAGTGTTCAAGTATCAAAATCAAGGCCACTGTTTCTGTCAAACGTAGTCTATGAAATATTTGAATTTTTGTTTGAAGCTTTCCGTTCAACGGAATTTTTGACAAATTCAAATCATTGACGCGTTTTGTGTGATATAATTGAAATAAATAACAGTTTTTGCAAATAATTTTATGTGTATTATATCAAAATGACGACCGACAAGATTCGGAAGGACAAGAATCAAAATATTCAAGTGTTTATTCGATTAAGGTATTTATTTCTTGTAATTTGTAACTGCTCAACGAAGACTTCGTTAATCGCCATGACTCACTGGTTTATTGTGTGATATTTAATAATTATTAGACTTTGTCTTCTATAAATTAGTTTAGGAGGTAGCAATTTATATTGTCTTTAAGTGTAATAACTTTATTTTGGGTCACCAGAGTTATCCAAACAAACATTGTGTAATGTTAACTCCCTCATAGATTTTGGGCATTTAAACCTGCATTACTCTATCTTGGCAATATTACATGCCTTAATCTTTGGTCTGCATGTTAATTTTGAGAAAATTCCACAAAGGAACATCACATTTCTTAATTAGAGATACTATTAGGTTAGCATCTGTCTCACGTCTTCAATTTCACAAGTTTATATCATGAATATCAACATGCATGCCTTTATTTTAAAGCTAGATGTTAATTAAGACAAATTGTACTGCAATTTTATTGCTGTGACCTTTTTGTAGCACATAATGTTATGAAGTATAGCAATGTAGGTCATCAATAACTTAGCTACAATTAAAACCTATCAATAACTTTTATTTCATAATCTATGATTAAACACAACATATTTTAAAATGTCTGTATTTTTTAAACAGTTAATATTGATAATTAAAATAACTTATTTTAAATATATTATTTAATAGCAGCAAAAGTAATACAATTCAGCCAACATCACTCAATTTAATATTCATGTGATTCGCACAGACCCCTGAACCAGCGTGAGCGGGACATAAAATCTTTGGGTGTGATCGAAGTTGTGAATAACCGGGAAGTGGTGGTCCGCCAGTCACAACAAACCTCACACACCAAGAAGTTCACCTTTGACCGGGCGTTCGCACCAAATGCTAGTCAGGTATGTTTAATTTTGTACTTATTTATGTTTTTGTGAATGATTTCATGAGTAAATCGAAACCATGAGATGTTTTGTGTAACTAAAGTGTTGCATAATTATTTTTTATGAAAGTTTTAGCAACTATAAATGGAATTTCATCATCATCAGCTTGCGCTGTCCACTATTGAACACTGTTTCCTACAATAGCATACCAATTTCTTTATCATAGTTCCATTGAACTTCATCTTCTAAATCACATTCTCAATTCATTTCTCTAATTTCATTTTAAAATATTGACATATAAATAGCTATTTTGTAGTCTATTTACTGAACTAGTTATTTTATTATTTTCTGTTTATCCCTTTTTGTTTTATTCTAAATTAGGGTACTTAGATTTAGTTTTAGGCCTAATCTATTGCAATGGACAAAACTTACAATTACAATGGATAAATAAAACTATATACCATTTCGTTGTTGTAACTTAATATTTTGTATCAGGTTTGCTGTATGTTAAAATACCCAATACACACTATCTGCTCATAAAATAATAATACATTTTGTTCCTTCCAGCTTCAAGTATACCAAGAGGTGGTGAGCCCTCTAATAGAGGAGGTCCTCAATGGCTACAACTGCACAGTGTTCGCATACGGACAGACAGGCACCGGCAAGACTCACACCATGGTTGGAGAGCATACCGGTTCTGATACACACTGGCAGAATGTGAGTAATTATCATTTCAGCTAGATATCATTTGTTGAGTTATTGGTGTTTAAAGAACAAAAGCAACAAAAGACTAAAAAAAACATGAACCAAAATTCATAGAAGTATTAGGTGCCTAATACTTAGGAGAATAAAGAATATTTAAAATATCACTAATGTACGAAGAGTACCTGTAGGCTATGCAAGTATAATATTGTCAATGCAACTGACTTTCATATTCATTTTCTCAGTTTCAATGAGCTAGGAAATGTTGACATGCTTTTTTTTTTAATCAAGCATTACTTCCTTTCCCCAGGATCCTCTGGCCGGTATAATACCACGGGCCCTCTCCCAACTATTTGACGAGCTTCGTCTGACCAACACGGAGTACACAGTGCGGGTGTCATACTTGGAGCTGTACAATGAGGAACTGTTTGACCTGCTCTCCACTTCGGAAGACAATTCCAAACTCAGGATTTATGAGGACGTGACAAGGAAGGGATCCAATATTGTTAATGGATTGGAGGAGGTTACGGTGAGTGAGCATATATAAGAGTGTAGATATAGATCATTAAAAATAAAAATTCTCTCCAAATTATCCCCACGGTCCCCCCACTTGTGGAATGAACTCCCAGCCAAGGTTTTCATTGGGTTATTCAAGAAAGGAGTAAAGTTTACCAGTCGGCAAGGCGCATTTACCAGGCAGGCCACGGTAACCATTTACCACTTATCAGGTGGGCCTTGAGCTTTTTTTGCCACCATCATGATATAAAAAAAGTATTTACTACCTATGATCTGTCTTATATGCATGGCGACAACATACGAAATGGCCATGTCTACATAGCAAGTTAAAAATTGTAATGTACTTGCTAACTAACTAAAAAGATATGTTTGTACAGGTATTCAACAAGAATGAAGTGTACAAAATTATGGCACAAGGGCAAGAGAGGAAGAGGGTTGCATCTACTCTTATGAATGCACAATCAAGGTAAGATCATTTTACATATAAAATCTGTATAGCTACTAATATTATATAGATAAAGATAGCACTATTAGAAATCTTCATAGACATTGGTGTAAAGTACTTTTTTGTTATTCATAATCTTATGTACTGTGTTTACATTGCAGCAGCCTTCCCAATGGCAAACCAAATTTGTTGTAAGTCCTCACAATAAATGTACCATGTTTTGTTTATGCTTCTTCATATTTTTTTATTTGAAATTATTTGTTAATGTCTCTGTTTTGTACATTGGGTTGGTTTCTGCAATCTATGCTGAGGAAGCATGATCAAATATGTTTTATTTAGATTGTGTAGATATAATGTACTGGCCTAATAGCTCAGTATTTTTGATAATTCTGTATATAAATTCATTGCAGGTTTCAATCGTTTTAAAATGTATCAGCTAGAATATTACAGTAATGTATTTTTGTAGAAATGCACATAATAGAAACTTCGTAAAAACAAACATGTAATATTACATTCATGTAATATTAGTAGTGTAGTGTAAAAACACTACATGAAACTTAAAATCTTCTAAAATCATGTTTCCTTCTACAGTCGCTCACACACGGTATTCACGATCGTAGTCCACATGAAGGAGAACAGCCCTGAAGGTGAGGAGTTGATGAAGATAGGGAAACTCAACTTAGTGGACTTGGCCGGCTCGGAGAATATCAGCAAGGCTGGTTCTGAAAACCCCGCCAAGAAGGAGAGAGCTAGGGAGTGTGTTAATATCAACCAGTCGTTGTTGACCCTCGGCAGAGTCATCACTGCACTCGTGGAGAGACATCCCCATATACCTTACAGGTATGTATAGATTTTAGGTAGCTTTTGTCTACTTGGCGGAACTTTAATAAGTTTCTGAGATCGTAAAGTCTTTGAAAAATTGATATAAGTGATAAAAATCGAAAGAAACTGTTTACTGTAACATTTTAGTATCCTAAAATGTAACTGTAACATTTTAGTATCTTAAAATTTTTGCGAACTTCTATTTTTGTGAGCCTTAAGGTTTAAACTAAAGTATGAAAAAGACAGTCATATTTACACACAAACAAATTGATCAACAAAATATTTCCACATAACAGGGAGTCCAAACTGACTCGTATTCTCCAAGAATCCTTGGGAGGTCGAACGAAGACTTCCATCATCGCGACCATCTCCCCTGGACACAAGGACTTGGAGGAGACCATGAGCACGTTGGAGTATGCTCACCGCGCCAAAAATATACAGAACAAGCCAGAAGTCAACCAGAAGATGACCAAGAAGGCTATCTTGAAGGAGTATGCTGAGGAGATTGATAGACTAAAGAGAGACTTGCAGGCGACTAGAGATAAGAATGGTAAGTTTAACCTTGTTGTATTATATATAGATATTTGTTTTACGACCATGTAGTTATTTTGTGGATAGTTCAATATATTATAGTCAGTGTTTGTAATTTTACTATAACTGACGGAAATTGGGTGTAATTTTTAACTTCATTTATTTAGGAACACGTGATTGATAGCGTCGTTTTCAAGTTCAATCCACTTCCAGTTTCGTCGTATACTCAATTATTGTGATCTTCCTTCGCCATACTAAATCAAATTAGTATTTTAATATCCTATTTTTCTTCAAGGTGTATACCTAGCAAGCGACACGTTCGCGGAAATGACGTTGAAAGAAGAAGAACAGCGTAAAGAGATACAGGAACTACTCCTAAAGAAGAGAGCCATGGAGGAGGAGAAAGAGAAAATGGAAGCTGTGTTCCAAGAGCTGAATGAGACTCTGGAAACCAAGAACAGTGAACTGGCTACTACTGTGTCACAGCTTGATAATACCAAGAAGGATTTGGCTACTACTAGTAAAGTGAGTACCTAATAAATAGGTAATATTACCTATTTGACGGCGGTAATATTTTTTTGATGGCTAATGCAACCATAAAGTTAATTTATTAGTCTGATAGAGATTGGTTATCGTAATCGTATGTCTTTGTGCCCCTTCATAATGAAACTTAGATCGCTTGCTTTTCACACAAACTTCAGTTGTCGTGTATCTGTCTGTTGCCCAAAGACCTACATGAAAACCAACTGTGTGTTATTTGTCAGTTGTCAGTCAGTTACTAAGCACTATAGTAGAGAAAGAAGGTTTTTTCCTTGTAATAATGATGCGTTAAAAGCACGTCGTCATGTCATTGTGCAGGCGCTGTCTCGCAGTCGGCGTGCGTGCGAGGAGCAACAAGTTCTAGTGTCGGCACACTGCAGCACGGAGCTGGCTCTAGGGGCGCAGGCGCGGGAACTACTCGACACTGCAGATGTCGCCACTAGCCACGTCGCCTGTCTACATGATGCTGTCGATAAACGGAAGTCAGTATCTCTTACGGAAAGAACACTATACATTTTTCCATTGAAATTCTCTTACATCTTAGCTAGATTTGTCTATAATCTTACTCATTATTATTAACATTACTTCTCTGTCTAAAATTACACCAAGATTCAGCAGTGGACACTAATAGGCTGTCACAATAGCTATTTTTTATGGTTTAAGCCAGTAAACGGGCAGAACGATCACCTGGTAAGCAATCGGCTTCCCCTATTGACACCCACAACACCAAATATGTTACACCTTTTAGGGATGGACGAGGATGTTGGAGAGTTTTAGAATTGGGGAAATTTAATTATGAGATAGATCATCAACAATTCATTTTGCTAACAACTAGAGCCTTGATGTACCTGAAAGTTTACTGGTTGAAATCAAAAAAAAAAATTTTTTTACACACATCACTAACGGCCATTTTCTGTAACCTATACAGACACATTTTGTATGGAGCTTATGTCAAAATTCTATCTCAGTAAGCAAATGTACAGATAGATAGGTTATAGAAAATGGCCGTAAGACTACCTATGACAAAGCTTGGTTTAACTAGGTTGCTAATTTCTTAGCAGAGGCCTTTGTTCGCCAACAGGCTAACATGATCATGAAGATGATTTCTTGGTAAAAATGTTAAACCTCTCAATCAACCATTTTCAGAAATGTAGAATCTACTAACTTGGAGATAACGCGCACATACCGCGAGGAGTCGGAGCAACAACGAGGCTCTATCAGTACTGGAGTCAGAACCTTTGCTGACACTGTACACTCTGTATTCAACAACTTGCAGGCTGCTTTAGGTAAGCTAAAGATATTTTTTTTAGTTTTCGGCCTTTCCAAACCTTTTAAGACATTTTGGGCATTAGTAATTTTCGGAGAATTTCTAGAATTGCTGGTTTCTGGTATAAAATATTACATCTTGGAATGTTGTTGAAGATATTTTGACAAAATTCTGAACTTATTTACCATTAAAGGAATTTTCTAATGACACAGGTGTAAACGATAATTATTTGTATACCTATTTCAGATTCATATACGACATCCAGCACTCAGACACAGGAACAAAATAAACAGCAACTTGAAAACTTGGTGCAGATGTTCATGGAGACTGTTAATGAGGTATTATAGTTTGTTTTAAGTTATATTATATTTCCTACTAATGTTATAAATATGAAAGGTTGTGATCATGAAACAACTGTACATTAGATACATGGATGTCTGTTACTTTCTCGCGCGTAAAGACTCGATAATGCGAGAGTAATTGTTGACATCTAGGAATCTTATTATATTATTTTTGAAACTCTTTATCTTTGATTTTTTTTATGGCATAGGCCGGTAAACGAGCAGACGGATCACCTGATGGTAAGCAATCGGCGTCGCCCATGGATACCTGGAACACCAGAGGCGTTACAAGTGCGTTACTGGCCTTTTGAGGATTAGAAGTTTGAGGATCGTTCGGGATTCAGAGATTGGGGAGATTGGGGAAGGGGAGGGTAATTGGGCCTTCGGTAACCTCACTCACACGACGAAACACAACGCAAGCGCTCCTTCACGTCGGTTTTCTGCTCGGCCGTGGTATCACTCCGGTCCGGCCGGCCCATTCGGGCCGAAGCATGACTCTCCTACACTTAACTATGACGTATCTTAACTAACTCATGATATTTGAACTTGTAGGTAAAAGCAGCTACATCAGAGAGTCGGACTGCGCTGTCCCAGTCGAGTGCGTCCCACGTACAGTCCGTGCGCGGCGCTGTGTCGTCGCACGGCGCCGCGCTGCGGCAGTCGTTGGCGGGGTTCCTGCAACATTTTGTATCGTCGCTGCAACACGCACACAGTGTCGACGTCAAGGGAAACGTTGCTAACTTCGTGCAGCAATGGGTCAGTTCATTGGTATTACTAACATTCTGGAAATACAGTATTGTGAGAGTAGAGTAATGTGAGAGACCCATCTAATGGGACACGAAGTGGCATTTGCACATAACAATATTATAAAAAATATTTATTTTAACGCTTTTTTCTTATCTGATTATATTAAGAAGAAACTCCAAAACAAACTCAGATCTTAGTTATAATAAGAATTAAATGAAATAAAAGAAAACTTATGATTAATATGTAAGTTCATAAGATAGTTAACATGTAAATAAACGAATGTTTTTCCCCACAGTACACCGGAGCATCGGATCGAGTATCATCCCTCCAGCGCGTGCACGGTGGGTTCAGTTCCCGTGCCGAGACATGCGTGGCGGCGCGCGCGCAGGCCCAGCGAGCTGCGCGGGACGCCTGGCGGGGACTCAAACAAAGGCGGGCCAACAGGACACAGGCTTGTCTCGCTGTACGTATGCTTACATTTTTGTACTATATTTTACATAAACAAAAAAGATTCTGAACTATTAAAAATGTCGAAATTCGTATTACATATTATTCTATTTTCTCACATACAGCAAAACTAATTCGTTTCTGTTTTCAAAACAACACGGTCAGTGCGGTGGCTGGGCAATCGGCTGCCACACATCGTGTCGCGGGTTCGAGTCCCGCACGGAGCAACTCTTTGTGTGATCCACAAATTGTTGTTTCGGGTCTGGGTGTCATGTGTATGTGAACTTGTATGTTTATAAAAACACACGACACAGAAGAAAATTATAGTGTGGGGACTAGTGTTCATTCCAAAATTAAATCTGTTCTTTAATAAAATACAATTACAGAAAATGCAAGAAGAATCGGTTCGCCTCGAAAACCTCCTAACACAGCAACTATCAGATATTGAGGCAGAAAGAGCACAAACCGAGCATAGACTACAAGAATGGATGGAAGAAAAGAGAAGATTGTTAGAGGAAGAACTAGCAAGACATGTAGCTTCAGAGAAACAAGCATTAGAAGACAGACTGGCCAAGAAGGTCACAGAAATTGAGTTACAGAAGAAAATGCTTCAAGAGAGGATGGAACGTTACAAAGAGTGGGAGCAGATACAAATGGAAGCAGATAGAGAAGAGATGGAGATGGCAGAAAGGGAATTGGAAGACAACGATAAAGGCAGACAGGAGTGTGTCAAAGATATTAAGAAGTACAGCAAGGAGTTTGAAGAAGGTAGGTCTTTAAGAAGCATAGTTAATTATACATATACAAAATTATTTTGTAACAAATGTTCATTAGAACCGAATTGCAATTTCTGTCTAGAGATATGATTGCACAACATAAAAAAAATCTGGTTTAACAATAATTGACTTAAGCATAGCTAGTGAAAACATAATTATTAAACTGTCAAACACCAAGCAGTCACCGGTGACAGCAACCTATTGTTCTATAATTGTGTCTATAATGACGGTACTCGACGAGTTAAAGCTTCTTAAACTTAGCGTTTACGATATTTCCCACTTTTACAGGCACAAACGCGATCAGCGTTGACATGGAGATATTCAGTAAGAATGTGGTGGAGGTCGTGGAACATATCAATAATGAGATGCTCAAAGCTCTAGACCAGACCAGAGTGCAGGTCGAGGTTTGTATCACTGTTTTTACATATTGTAAAATAATTTGTATTGCCGCATTGACACAGGTCAGCTCGACCAGGAAAGTACCACTTTCCACAAAATACTAAACTCAAGGATACCCAAAAACACTGCTTAATTGTGCCATCATTTTTTCAATGTCATCATTTTCAAAGCGTAAATGAAAGCGTAATTAAACAGTTTTCTACATGTTGGGCACTGTATTTGTGATACCTCCAGTATTGTAGGTATACTTGGGCAAAGATACCTCCAGTATTGCAGGTATACTTGGGCAAAGGTAAACTTTTGTTGCTTGCTACCGGTACCAGAAAATTGTTATTTTGATTAAGTAAAATTATGTATAAAATGAAAAATAATGTTGTTTTCTAACTATCACAGGAAGAAGTGTCGAAGGTAGTGTCAGCGGACGAGGCGTCGTGTCTGCAACTGACGCAGTCTGTCGGCGACACCGTGCAGGCCTTGCTGGACTCTACCAAACATATCACTGAACAACTCGTCACCAAGGTTGAGGTAAATATTAGTCAACAGACTTACAAATGTGTTTAATAACCATCGTTAAAGAGTTTTGAGATAAGGTATACCCTAAATCTTCTGTTTTCTTGAATACACATCTCGCCTTTATCCCTGAAGTGGTAGGTATAGGTGCACATTACGGCACTTAATGCCTTTGTACAAAATATGTAATACCCACTTTTCATTATTTATGTTACGAGTCCCATTTAATAGGGATGAGCCTTTTGCCATAAACTGGGCACATTTCATACTGAAATTAAAAATAAACCAGTAATACTTTGCCCGACCCGGCAGTCGCACTTGCGACCACTCGGCCAACGAGGCAGTCTTTGTGGTATGTTGTTATGTTTACTAGACAATTTTCTCTACTAGGCAGTAACCGCGTCTTTTATCTAGGTATATAAAATGATGTTCTCTCCACAGAGCAACACTGGCACCGCAACACAACAACTACGCGACGTGTACAACTCCACTACACAACTGATCTCTACAACCCACTCTCTACACGACACACACGCCGCGACGTGTACACACGCTCGGGAACAAGTCTCTACACTGCAGGGCCAGCTGTATGAAGCTATAGCAAGGCACCAACAGCTTGAGAACAAGTACCTCAGTCATGAGTACAAGCTGTACTCGCCTACTGGTAACTATACTTTAAATATAGCCTTATGTTCTTAAACCATTCTCAAAAACCTATTTGTTGGTAGATTTAACTACAACAGATGGAAATTTGCAATTTTTGTATGAACTTATGGAAGAGAGCTTCAATACCATAGATGAGTGTAAGTTGAAGAAAAGTAATAAAGTAATTGATATTTGATACTCATCATAAAACTACTGCAAATAATCTGCCAAGCTCTCATCTTGGTGCTTACTCTCGAAACCAATCTCAATTTCAATCGATAAAATCTCAATATAATCATTGAATTTCTATGTCAAAACTATACAACCCCTATCGTAGCTGTTAAAATAGCATTCAGAGTACGGAATATAAAGCTAAACTCAATACCATTTAGTTCATTCAATATCCACGCAATATGGATGCAATGGCCGCCAGTGTTGCAACTCAAGAGTATGAAATTTTAATTAAATATACTGATTATGCTTAAAATCTTTTATTAGAATTAGGAGAATAATAATGTAAAAATGTCAACACAATGAATGTGTCACTCCAGGTAAGACTCCGTCGCGCGTGGAGTACCGCTACCCGCGGGCCCTGGCCGCCACCTCGCCGCACGACAGGCTGCTCGCCAGGTTCCGCGCCATGCGCCAGGACTCGGACGACGTAAGTACTCGCTATTGACTTATATACAAACAGAACTACACCTCACTCAACTTTGTCGTTTTGTAAATAAAGTCGAAAATATATTGAAAATACAGTTCTGAGTAGCTTGGTACACTAGCATCAATACCAAAACTAAATTAGACTAAAGGTCAACATGACCTTCAAACTATAGCCTATGGTCTAACTTTTGAAATCTTATGTCATGTAAAATAATACAGATATTTACTGCGTGAAAAGAAAACTTTACAATAGTGAAAGAATTATTGAAATTGTTTCAATAGTTTTCTATGAGACTTCCTGCGCGTATTTTATGCAAACAAACATTAAATGGCAGTAGTTGGAATGACTTGAAATCGAGCACAATGACATAAGCTATTGCCCTGAGAGACGTATGTCTAACAGTGTATGGAAATATTTTTTTTTTTTTTAATCTCATTTATTATAAGGGATTTTTGTACACATTTTGTGACGATGTCAATCCCATCGTGCTTCTACATAACGAATGTATTTACAACTTAAACAAAATATCTTAGTCTACTTATCTATCTAATATAAAGGAATATATAATTTTCGCAGCTTCAGATGTAGGCTTAGTATGGAAATAATAATAATATTTTTTATCTGTAGCAGGACTGCGTTGTAGTAGAGTCCGACACAGAAACATCGACCCGACAGGTGAGTGACTCGGAGTGTTCCTCCGAGGACTCCGCGCACTTCCTCGCTCCTTCACCGCCGGAACCGCGGGGGACAACGGATACCAGGGACACTCGGGATGCTCGGGACACTCGGGATGCTCGGGACACTCGGGACAAACTCGTCAAGAGCACATCCGAGACTGACATACTCTACACTATTAGGAAGGTGAGTAAACTTTACGATATTTTTCTTTGGAAAGTAATGTGTAATTTATTTTTGATTTATTTTTGTAAATTTAAGTACCGTTTCGGTATACTCTTAATTAAAAATACTGGACACGTCATCAACTTGAACACAGGCGGTAACAGTCCACAATGGATTAAGAAGTCCTATAAATAGGAGTAATTAGCTTAACTTGTCATCAAGGCGAAACCCTTTACTCAGCAGTGGACAAAGGTCTACATTACTATTACACCATTACTATAGGTAGTAAGTGACACTTTAATTATAAATAAAATTTCTTTCCACAGCAACAAGAAAACGCCAAAGAGAACACAGAACGCTCAGTTTCAGGCAAAAAGCCTTCCAAGCTACCCGCGCCCTCATCTCTTAAGAAGCCGTTAGCAGAACGAAACGTGAACTGACTTCACATCTACCCACTTTACTGCCCAGTACCTTGATTTAAAACGGTATAAAGATGTATTGTGTTCAATGAAAAAGTTCTTAGTTGCGAATAGTAACCGCTAGAGGCGCTAGTTACGCTTGGCCCCTAAAATAAAACCTCTTTTCAACTATATTTATAGTTCTTACCAGGTTTTATAATTGTTAAAACAATTGTTTTTCTAAAATTTCCAACGTATTTGTGTCTCGAAGCGTAAAATCTCACCGATTTGGCATTAGGATACGAATTTTGATTGATATAATATTATTTTGTAAGCAGTAAGTTTGTATTCAGTGTGTCTATGCTTATGTTTGTCGACGTATATTATTGAATAATTGATTTATTAGTATTATGGCAGTTGGCGAACTGTAATATTTGACGAATGGTTAACATTATGCAGTTTTTAAAGAAATACGACCTTACAAAGCGCCCATATACATATAATGTGGTCATTGTCAACTGCCAATTAGTTATTTTAACATTATTAATAAAAATAGTTATTGTTACTATCCTTATATAAGCCGCTATAGTAGCTATAAAAGGTTAGGCCTTTCCCTAAACTCACATATACATATTATATTCAGATTTCCATTACATTTTACTTACATACATATATCTTTAAATTAATTTTGGTATTTTATAGAATTATAGTTTTTATACGTATCGTGTTAAGATTATATAATGTTCGTACTATATATTTAGATTTTATTTAACTTGTTCACATATCATTGTATATGAGTGTTGTGTGCAACAATGTAATTAGCAATAAAATTAAATTATGGGAATTGTCGTTATTTTATTTCTATTACATAAAATTTACAATACAATAATGAATTGAAAATAATGGCCCGTGAAATGACTGATAAACATATAACATTACTTCACGCCTTTTATCCCCGAAGGGTTAGGCAGAGGTGCACATTACGGCATTTAATGCTACTACAATGAAACACCCACTTTTCACTATTTTATGTTATGAGTCCCATGTGGGTGAGCCTATATTGTCATATACCGAGCACATTACCAGCCTCCGTGCTAGTACTGAGATTTTTTGAAAGAACCCAATAATACTTTGCCCGACCCGGGAATCAAACCCGAGCCCCCTTGGCTGTCACACTTGCGACCACTCTGCCAACGAGGCAGTCTGATCTAGTTCTCTAGTCACAACGGGGCTCTTCGTGAGCAGCGTTAGTGTCTTGGCGGCGTCAGAGCAGTCGACTCATAAATAAAGGTCCCGTTGGGACTTAAAACTAGTAGAGCTCTTCTCAGTAGTTTAACCACTGATATGATAAGAGTATGGATAAGAAACAACTAGGAAAAAATCGTGCCTACATAAACTTCACTTGGTCACCCGTAATGGCGGATAGAACTAGGGATGTAACTTTTAAAACTGTAGAAATATCGATATTTTAGAATTGGTTTTAATTGACTTATCAATAAAATATCATTATTTTATGATTCATCTGGATTTAATTTTTATGTAGCTGCTAAACATTACCAACATATTAGCGAAATATATTTAGTAGTTGCTGCGTGCACTGTCACTCCAGTCGATCGTGCCTATACATTCACATCATAACTTTCACGATACTTATGTATCGAAATTCATGAAAAGGATTTTCCATCAACTGGTCAATATTTATATACTTAAGGTTAAGTAATTTTTGAGGGTTGAAAAATAAAACTGTATCAAAGTATTCATAAAATCAAGATTTATAATATACAATATCTTCGTATTTTTCGTAGTGTTTCCCTGTAATGTAATCTGCAAAACCATCTTTCGAGAAGACTCCAGAACTGGTTCCAAGTTCATTTTCATGCACATATCTGGCTAGAGGCTGCAACATAAATAGTATAATTTAACTTACTTGATCCAATTGAACATAGATTTTTCTATAGATTCTATAGGTACTGTACTAAGCTCTGAACGAAAATGTTTGTACATTACAATGATAGTGATAGATAGCGGAGGAAAACAGAAACATATAGGTACAAGAACCCGGTTAGTTATGAACTTAATATAAATGTTAAATAAAATGTTAAGTTTGCACCTCTTCAAAAAATGCTTCCAAAACTAATATAACAAAACACATAATGAATCGTTTACATTATGATTTACCAATAGAGCTTGTAGCGATAGGGCCCCATCACGTAGATTTACTATTAATTTATTGTTCGGTTAAAACATTAATCTTCAAAATAAAGTTAACAAACAAAGATATGTTTCCTTCTAGTATCTATATTTCCCACATTAATTATTTCCAGCCAAGAACTTCTGCGTGGTTCAAGCACAAACTAAAAAGAAAATTTATAATATTATTAAAATTATCGGCAGAGTTCGACACATTCTAATAAATACTCTAA